GTACCTGAGGCAGAATGGTGATACGGAAGGACTGGCTGGTATTTGTGGCTCTCAGATAGATGGAAAGCTTTGGGAAAAACCTCCAGGGGTTTTCTCCCTTCATCCAACATGCCAGCTTGGTGCCGTCCCAGAAGCCTGAAGAAAAATCCTGGATCTGATCCACAGGTAAAGAAGCAGACGGAGAGCGGGGAAAAACAGATAAACCACAGGAACAGAAGGTCAGCAGAGAAGAAGAAGAAGAACCGTTTTATTAGGAAGATAATCTTTTTTTTTTAAATGTTGCATTGTTTTTCATAGTCATTTTGTCAGTGTCTCCTTCAGCTCTGTGTCTCTGACCGTCCGTCCCTGAACAGTGACTGTGTCTTTCTTCTGTCTGACCACATGTTTCATCCTCATCTGTTGGAGAAAGGCGTGACGTACCAGAGAGCTGCGAGTGATGGCTTCGACCACCGCGTTGAAGACGTTGACAGGAAGTCGCAGCAGAGTGGTCCCACTGTCAACAATGGCTTTGTCCATGTTGTACTGAAGGAAGGAGAGAAAGAAAAACTTTTGTTTTTTTATCTCTTAGTCTGACAGGAGAGGGTGAGACAAAGAAACCAGGAACCAGGAAGTTGTCAGAGAACCGTACCTCTCTACAGTCCAGGTCCAGGTTCTGGCTGCCGACCTCCAGCTTTAGAACCTCTACTTGATAGTACCATTCCTCTATGATGGGTGTGAACCACACTGAGCCGCGGTACAGAGTGGGCTCTGCCCCCCCCATGATCTGTAAAAGGAGGAAAATGATTGGACCCAACCATCCTGTAAAACATCTTTTTTTTTATCGGCTGAAAATGAACCTGCAGCCACATCAGTCTGTAGACCACATCTGCCAAGGTGGGGTGGGGGGGGCCGGAGCCCCTAAGGGGACATGGAGCTAATGTGAGGGGGAAACCACAGCAAGGGTAATCAACTTTAATTAATTTTTTTTAATTGTGTTGAAGGGAAATTTTACAAGAATCTAATCTACAGCAAAAACATTTTGTGAGTCACTGGATTGGCCGCTCAGTCAGGAGGCGTGTCCACGTTTTCACGTCTGGGGCAGGTGCAGGGCAACATCAACTCTTATCAAATTTAAAAAATGTCTACAAACAAATCCATTCAAACAATTCAAACAAACTATTTTATGTATTTTTTTAAACAATGTTGTTGTGTTTTAGCTCCAACTCCTGACGACTCACAAGACTTCCGCCTGCAGGGTCCGCCGCGGCGCTGGCTGACAGTCCGGCCCCGCACATCTGCAGGGAAAAGATGTCTGGAATCACCAGCTGCTGAACGGAGTCAGGCTGAGGGGGGGGAGGGGGGAGGAGAGGTGTGTCACCATTAACTTCTGTTTCCACAGAGGGTTAATTACACTTCAGCCACTTAATTGATTTAATTTTTAACAACATATTTACTTTTGATGTCGATTTCTCACGATCCCAAATAAGAACAGTTCATTTTAGACCAGTGGTTGGAGGTGTACGGCTCCACCAACGTCAAGCTACTTTATTAGCAGTGCTCTCTAAACCATACTGTTTCAGAGTTAGTGGATAAGAATGAATTAGGCACTAAAACTGCCTCGATAGCACCACCTGCAGGGCAGGGAGGAGATTATTGTAGTGTGCATTGTTGGTGTCCAACTGTCCAACTTTGCCCCGTCTTCTTACCCGTGCCAGTATTGGATAGGCCAGCCCTAAGATGCCCTGCCAGTTAACGCCAGGCAGGAAGAATCCATCGGACGACAGGATGGCAGCGATGTTGATCGTGATGGTCCCGTTTGGACCTTTGGGGATGGAGACCAGGTCCAGGCCCAGTTCACCTTCCCAGTTGCCCTGCGTGTACCTGACGGCCACAGTGCGACCCACCGGCTGGTACGTAGTAGAGCTAGAGACGGAGGAAGAGGAGGTGGTGAAGATGGGACTAAGGCACATGATGCGTCTTCTGTCCTTCGTCTGTCCCCTAGAGGACAGACGAAGACACACAGGTGAGTGACTGTTTGTTTGATTCAATCATGATCACAGGAACAAAGGCCTGGTTTTTGTTTGTTTGTTTGTTTAAGTTTAGCCAACATTCATCATGAGATTCTATAGAAAAGTCTGAGCAGATAAGGAAGAAGAACACGTTTGTCAGGACTCTGTTTGTCCTGGGTGACACAGACGGCAGCTTCCACTCACAGTGCAGTGTTGAAGTAGTGAGTAATGAACGGGTGCGACGCCGCGGCAACAGCAAAGTTACTGCTGCCGGTATCCACCAGGATGTTGAGCTGGAAAAACAAAAGCAGAGTTTGTATTAGGACCAGCAACACAATTATCAAGCAGTGCCGCACCCTTGACTGACAGGGTGAGAAAACATCTGCGGGGGAGTGATACCCCCCCCCCCCAGCCCCACCCCCCAGACTGATAGTCTCTGATAAACAGACGGTCAGTGGAGAATGTTGTTGATTTTGTTTTTCTTTAGTCATAAGATGTTTTTTAATAACTTTAGCTCACACTGAAAATTTAGTTTCAACATTTGAAGTAGTATTTGTTCATGTGTAGTAGTACAATGTGGTAATACACATCATATATACACAATAAATACTTCACTGTCTGTATACAAAGACACTGTAGCAGTAAAACTGACGACGTTTATCTGTTCACTTTATTAACATTAGGTTGATACTAATGTTAGAAAAAATGTAATAATTGTTGTAAAAAAAATATTATTTTCACTTGAATTCTTTGTTTTGATCCATTTACAGAACAGAATTAACTGCATGACGACAGGTATGAAAATCACAAACTCACTGGAACATGAATCTACAGGACGACACCAGTGTGACTGACCAACCGTACACACACTTCTAATGCTGGTAATAATCATTTTCACATGTACTCGTTAACTGGATCGGGAAGGTCAAAGGTCACACATCATGGAAAGACACGCAGCACAGGAAGTGTCTCAAATAAAAAACAGCTAACGTAAGAAAAGAAAAGTAGCAACAAGTGCAGCAGTAACTGTCACTTCAAAAGACGAAAAGACAGAGAATCTGTGACGGAGAGAGAGAGAGAACTCTGATCTGAACATGAGTCAAAAATCACAAATCTATTTCTCTACAAATCCTTTATTTAAGTCTAAACTCTTCTGAAAATTCTGTTTCCATCCATGACTGCAGGTGTGAAGACTCCAAACTAAAAAAAAAAATCCTCCCTGAACCCAGACTATTCTGGGCCAGGCCTGTGTGTGTCATCCATGATTCAAATATTTCAGCCTCCAGCTGTGATTGGACCATTCTGTTTGTCATGTGCGCAGCATGGACTGCCATGACTCGTCCTCCAGGCACCAGGACGGATCACACCTCTGAGACAGAGATCACAAAGAGGATCCCCCGGCCTGACACGCGGCTCTTTACGACCCCTCCAATAAAGAAGTGACTCTTTGATCAGGTCACATGACACGCTGCATGAAAACACTGAGCGCTCATTCATTATGCCTGAGCAGTTCAGGGACTAAAGGTAAGTCATTAGCATTTCCCCGTGGCTGCCTTTGTTTTGTTACAGACCAGAACAACAGGACGTGTTAGTTTGGACGTTAGTTTGGAGGTTTTTCCAAACAAATCCAAGGAAAACAAAGCCTCGTCATTCACAGGCCTGTTCCCCTCAGCGCTCCGTCCAATCACACACACACATACACACACCCCCTCCAACAGGAGTGTGTGTTCATTATTACGCAGCAGCAGTTTCTCAGTAACTTCAACTGTTCACAAAGTCACAATCAAGCTTCTCTGTAATCATCAGCCGTGCACCTCCATGGCTCCACACGAGGTTATCAGTCCGCCTGGAGGATGTAGACTAATGACCGGACTGGCCCTGGTCCATCACTGAAACTGTGCCAGTGACACCACCCCCCCGCCCCTCCACTACCTCACAGATGGCGTCGGTCCAATCGCAGCCAAACGGACTAGTTTGTTAAACATTTCACCCTCGTGGGTAAGTAGGGAGCAGAGGCTGCTCCTACCCCGGCCCTCCTCCGTGCAGTTGGGTCCTCAGCCCGGGGCAGTTCTCACCCCCCCCCGCTGCTGCTGCGCCGCGCTGCAGTCGAGCATTTACTGTGTCTAATTGGCAGCGCGCTCCGCGGCGGCGACATGCATCTGCTACCTGTTTGTACCAATTAGCTGCTGTGAGACTCTGAGCCTGACACCTCAGCCCGGCTGTGCCACATGCTAACAGATGTGGCAATTAGTGACTCATTTGAATGCTGCCTCGTTTAACACCACGGCTCTGTAATCACATTTGGATTTAATGATACTGTTACTGCCACTTAATAACTGAGTTAAAGCTCATTTAGATCTGAAGCCAAGGTCTGAACATGGAGTTTATCTGTAAAAACTGATTGGACGTCACTCGACTAATCTGACATATAATCTTCTAAATGTGATAAAATAACACAAATGTATGAACTGAACAGCTGATCAGAAGAGACTTAGTAAAAAGTAAAATGACATGTTTTAATAAAGTGTCACGGTGATGTTGCAGTGTATTTGTGATAATAATCTGAGACCATTTAAAGGTTAAAAACATGATAAACAGTGACAGTGTTACTGTACTGTGTAGTACTGGTTGTTCTGGCTTAATCTGCACAAATACACAAATAAAATACTGTGTTTGCTCTGGTAGAACCGACAGATGAGGAACTGTTGTACGTGTACGTGATGACATCACTGCTGTGACATCACAGGCTCCTGCAGCAGGTGAGTGTTAGATGATAAGTAGATTGGTGGTTCCTGTTTAAATCTTCATATTTCAGGTGCAGCCCAGAGGAGAAGCTGTAGAGTCTGGTAGGAAAATGTGCTCCAACATTATCATCCTGGATGTTGACACAGGGAAAGTCCTCCAGGCGGTGCTGATAAGCCCCAGGGATTCTGGGAAATGAGCGGTGGCACCGAGAAGCTCTGAAGGCTCTGACCAGTTCAGGTGGAGTGACCCAGGAACAACAGGTCAATGAGACACTAAAGAGAGCGTGCACCTCAGGTTTCAGCTCCACTTCAGTCTCATTTACCTACAACACGGTGGCGGAGCGCAGCCTCAAACCAACAACCCCCTCAAGCATCATGAATATTTAATCGTGATGGGACGTTTCCCTCCTCCAGCCCTTCTGGGACATTTAGACCTCCTTAATCATTAATATGAACTTGTTAGGCACTTTACATAATGAGCAATGTGAAAAAAAATATGTCAGTGGAAGCTAAAAGGAGTAAATACGCCTGCGTCCCGGCTGCCGGGGCTGATGTTGGCGACCAGGGAGCCTCATAATCCCTGTCAGCTGCCTGGGCGCACACGGCCGTCCTCACAGGCAGCATCATGTGACGGAGTGCATGTGAGCGGGCGATAAGTCTACCTACAGACCCCCGGGGGGCAGCACAGGCAGCAGCCGCAGTCGGCTCTGAGACAAAGCTGACATCCCATAATAACACAGACGCAGCACGGTGTGCTGGACCAACAGATGTTGTTGTTCTGCTGCTGCTGCTGCAGGAGGCGCTAATGTCAACTAATATCACCTGGTACAGACTGATCACAGCGATGAACGGTGAGGAGAGGAAGTTAAAGTGTCTGATCCTGAACAAACACAGGTTCAGTTTAAAGAAAAAGAATCTGAATGAAACATTCTCACCAGTCTGACTCAGCTGTGGCTCCAGTTAAAAAAAGACACACTGTAACTGTTGAATACATTTATATCAAGTGAGGAACGTTACTGTGAAATGTTCCTGAAATGACTGAAATCCCCTGGACCTTTTTTTTTCTTGCAGGTGTTTGGACTGTCGTTCTCTCACCGTGGACCTGGGCTGTGAACCAGTGACCTTTTTGACAGAATCACCTTTACTGGTCAGTGTAAAGTCAGTGTAAATTTAGTGAAGAAGTTGGTTAATGTAACATCACGACGATGTGTCCAAATACTTTACTTTCATCAAGGATGAAACGACTGACTTAACAAAATGACCAGAAAGTACTGACGTGAAGGAATGTGAAATCACTGAACCTGTTTATGTTTAATTTACTCCAAACATTTGAATGTTTTTAGCTAAACACACACATCAACAAAGTCACTGTTTAACAACAGAAAGTGATTTGAGTTGTACTCCAGTATTGCAGTATTACTGAGTATTACTGAAGTCCTGGGACAAACACACCCAGCTAATGAGTTGTTTCCCAGAAGATCACATGTTTCTTCAGACGAACCGGGGCTGCATCAGTTGCTGAAGTCACACCACGTGACCCTGAGAATCCACGGTGAGTCAAAGCAGAAGAACAAATAAAAAAAAACTGTGCTGCGTTTAATGTTAATCTGCTCAAATACGTGAAAATGTAAAAAAAAAAAAAAGTTCAACACACACAGACTGACTGAAGAAGAACACCGTGAGGGTGAACCGAGGATGGGGCTGCAACGAATTCATGTTACAGTGAAAACGAATCAAATTTTCTTCGATTAATCGCCTGTGTCTATGACGATACGCTCGAATGTAGCCAACCGAGGAGATGTATAGTTTACAGTGAGAAGCAAATGAAACAAGGAAAATATAACAAACTGCCTGGGAAACAAGTCATCATAATCGATTAATCGTGTAGTTGTGATTAATTAAAAGTTAGTCATTACCGTTTGGCCGGGCGAGCCGATGGACATCTCTATGTAATAACCTCTTCCAGAGTCTCCCTGTAGGTTGTTCTCCATGTCCAGGAAGTTGACAGTTCCAGTGGGATCGGAGGCCAGAGACAGGCCGTTCCCAGAGCTCAGCCGGGCAGGAGTCACATGCTCTGCCGACGAAACGCTCACCTTACCCGGGTAAATTTTCAGCGGAATGGAAAACAAACACCTGGAGACTCCGAAGTAGAAACTCAAAACAAACGCCCAGGTCGTCACCGACGCGCCGTAAGCCATGGTTGTTGTTTTTGTTTAAATAATAACTAGTCAACGGTGATGTGAGAAAGTACAGTTTCTCCCAGTTTAAAGTTTCCTCCTGCTCTGGTTTGGACTTCAGCCATCATCTGGACTCATGTGCTGAGGACACCGCCATCATGGAGACACTGCTGCTCCTTCTCCTGCTCCTACTCCTGATGCTCCTTCACCGTTGACAACAAGAAGAAGTAGGAGTTAAACATTCTTAACACTGTAGGACTTCTTCCACTGGAAACTACTGTTTAAAGCCTCCATCCACTCCTCCTACACCGCCAAGCCAACGGAAACAAGGTACGAAGAAACTTCCGGTACAACCCTTCAAAATAAAGTTTGTTTTTCGTATAGGATCATATTTAGACCTGTCATTTTCCATTTGTTAGCAGGCAAATGTTAGCAGTTGTGGCATGGAAAAAAACATAAAATAAGCATAATAATTACATGGAAAAAAAAAACATAAAATAAGCATAATAATTAGCACACCTATTACTAGATAAACAAAATACAGTAGAGTTAAAAAATGATGATGATGACGATGACAGCACGTTTGCCATAACATTTTTGTTTCCTTTTAGTTGGCAGGTTTATTTTACTGACACAGAGACAAATAACTCCTGTCCAAACTCATGTGAAGGCCTGTAGTGAGCTTTTATTTTGTAAGAGAACTGACTTCCTGTATACCTGGTCGGACCAGGATACAGAGTGTAAATAACCACAGAACATCGTGTTTGCTATGCTTTAATGTCTGTTTCCTCAGGTTTTGTTTTGCACGTACACACAGCAGTGTTATGACTGTGACGTTCTGCTTCAGGATCTGACACAGTTCACCTCCTCCTCCTCTAATGGAACCTCCGTCTTTTCAGATGGTCAGGTCACTTTTATTGTTCCGGAGGAAGAAGCTTCCAGTGCTGCGGCAGGATCAATGTCACGGGCCTTCTCTTCGCTGCCCTTTCACACAGAGACAACACTGTCCTCCTCATGAGTTCACAGCTACGCTGTCACATGTTGGGCTCGTCTCCCGTCCTCTCCCCCCACTCACTGATGATAATCACTGCAGTTACAAATACCTGAGTAACGCAGAGACAGACCGTGGCCACAAAAATTCATCTTTCTGCTGCATTTCTCGTCATGCACCGGGGTCTTGTGAATGACCCATTTAAACAGAGTTTTTCCTCCGTAGCCTGGGAGTATAAAATCAGGGCTGAGAAGGAATGCAGCAGCCAGTGGACACTGAACGCAGCATTAAATCACATGTCTTCTCTCTTTTCTGTGTGTGTTTCCTCCAGTCTGTTACATTCACTAACGCCCAGCGGTGATGATGAACGACCTCGAACGCAGTCGCTGTTGTTTCAAGCTAATGACACACACTGTTAATTTGGAAACATAATCCACTTTTGTAAAACAAGAGAAGATCATCTGTGACGGTCTGTGACTGAAGTGACTACTTCCTCCGTGTGACCTCTGTTCACCTTCACAGCTGTAATTAATCAGAGATACTTGTGATTGTTTGTCCTGACCGTCCATGACACGTCTTCATGCTGTTCCACTCACGGCCACAGCATGGCACTCTGCACCATTCTGTAAACCTCATTGTCTGTGAGCAGCTGTGGAATCTGGATTTGAGTTTTTATTATTTTATTTTAAATAGTTACACATGGTCAGTCAGGTGTAATCAGGGGTTCTGATCATTTATCTGGTAAAGTTTCATATTTAGTTGGAAATGATGCATGATATAAAATATACCAAATGAAATGAAAACAATTTAATTACATTTTAAATAAGTAATTTTAGCCCAAATAAATTTACAAAAATTATATAAAAAACCAAACATGACAAGATGTTCAAAGACGTGAAACGATGAAAAAAAATTGGATTGTTTTGTTTTGTATTAATTCAGGAAGTTCCACAAATTCAAGATTGTTTTGTTTTGGATTAATTCAGGAAGTTCCACAAATTCAATCTTAAACAACACAGTAAACAGATGAACCTTAACTTTAACTTAAATCAGCTCCTCATGTTCATGTTCATGTTCATGTTCATGTTCATGTTCATGTTCATGTTCATGTTCTCGTTCATGTTCATGTTCTCGTTCTCTCTTGGCTCTGACTCCAACTTCTGCTCGGTAACAAGCGACTTCTTGTCTCCTGTCTTTGTCACAGGTGTCGACTCCCTAACAAGGTGTTCGTACTCACAGCTCTCCTGGCTCTGACTCCAACTTCTGCTCGGTAACAAGCGACTTCTTGTCTCCTGTCTTTGTCACAGGTGTCGACTCCCTAACAAGGTGTTCGTACTCACAGCTGCTGCTGCTGCTGCTGCTGCTGCTGCTGCTGCTGCTGCTTCTGGTTGTGCTGTTTTTGTTTCCAGCTATAAAAAGGTTTGGTTGGATTTTGTTTTATTTTGTTTTCTTCAGAGAAATTATTCACAGGTGTGTGTGTGTGTGTGTGTGTGTGTCAACTCTTACTGCTGGGACAGGAGGGGACGTCCTCCTCACAGAGGCCTCACATTCTCACCGCCGTCTCTGTCTGTTTGTTCATTCATAGTAAAAGGAATCAGTGACACACAGATGAGTCAGGAACCAGGCCACCACGTCTGCTCCTCGCCTCAAGGCACCAGTCTGACACACACACACACACACACACACACACACACACACACACACACACACCCTGCTGGTCCCTCCTGGTGTGCTGCTAGTCACGGAGCAGATGTTGCTGCGGTGGCTGAGGCCTCCTGGTCTGGACCAGTGGTCAGTTAATGAAGATTAAAGAGTAACCACTGATGTTTGTTTCATGGATTCATCAAACACCAGAGTCATTTTGTCTCGTCAAGTGTAGTTTGTCCAATAACCTGGACTGTCAATTCTGGACTATAAGTCGTGGCTGAGTACAAGTTGCAACAGTGCCCTCTAGTGGCTGTCAGTTGGAAAATATCGAACGCGTACATTTTCAGTGGTACAGTAGTAGCAGATACTGGTACACAAGCCCAGAGTGCCCTCTACTGGCTGTCAGTGGGAAAATAACAAAGGTGAAATGATACAGTTTAATATATAAGTGGCAAATTCAGATGAAAGATGAGAAAAAGTCTGACTTCTAGTTTGGAAAATACTGTCGTTAACATCTGGAGTTGTTGTGTTAATGTTCAGTCCAACCTGAGGTGAAACAACATGTTATTGTTACAACAAACTGACAAACTGACTGTATCAACAGTGACCAGTTCAAGTCACTGTGTCTGGATTCAAACTGAAACTGAAACATTTGAGCAGCTTTTTATTCCCTTCAGCTGGAAATCTGAATTTTCTCCATTGATTTTGGCAGAGAGAGATTTAAAGGTTTTTTATTTTATTTTTATTTAACCTAAAACAAATCTCTCTCTTATTTCCTTGTATCCTGAAACACAGAGCAGTTTTGTTGTTTGTTGTTTTCATCAAATAACAAATTCATTTTTTTATACCTCAGACTAAAACAGTGACTGATTAAAATAAGTTGTTGTTAATTATTACCAATTACTAGCTCAACTGTTTAACTCTTCATAATGTTCTGAGTTCATGAAGTAATACTAGAGTAAAAGTATTACCTTGTACTCCTGGTGGAGAATATTTGAATTACACACAGGAAAACACATCTACAAATACACCATATTTGTGAAGCCCATTGCAGAGGTAACTATCTGTTGTTCCCCCAC